TCTCACTCTGAGGATCACGCAGCGGCTCGAGAGCCGCACGCCCGTAATCTGGGCCGGTAGCTTCGCCCTCGATGGTATGCGTGAGGTTTGGGCTCATAACCTGCTGAAGAGAGGGAGGTTCGACAGGTGAGGTCATAGGAGCAGGACGTGGATCCATGGCAGCACGAACGAATTGAAAGCTCTCGGTTTTTCACAGCATGCGAAGTTAATCTGCTTCAGATCGGTGCTTTGCGCAACTGCCGTGCTCTGCACTGGTCTACGTTGTCGCCTGCTGCACCTGAAGCCTATGTTAGGCTGCACGAAGATCAAGCAATCCGCAACCTGGGCAACAGAAGCTTTCAGCACCTAAACCTTAATTCCTAAGCCCCAAACCCTAATCCCTAAACCCCTAATCCTAAGCCTACACATGAGCCTTCGGCGCTGAAGACTTGACCGCACCACGAGGAAAAGGCGCCGACTACGTCTTCATTGACCACCCCTCTTTCCACAGGTGGGTTTTCGAAGTTCAGGGCTCTGGGGGTTTAGGGTTTAGTGGTTTAGGGTTTAGGGGTTTAGGGTTTAGGGAGCAGGTTTAGGGTTCGGGGTTCAGGGTTTAGGGTTTAGGGTTCTGGGTTTGTAGGATCTAGGTCTTAAGGCTTTTTTGTAGGAAGGAGGATGAGAACTGAGGGAGTAGTGTATCAGCGTTTGCTTCAAGGCGCAGCTTTTGGTTTTGCAGTGGACCTATAGCAAGTAATATCTAAGCCATTTACAGGTGGGTAGTTTTAAGGTGGGTAGTCTCCCATAAGCCTTCCATACCACTCCTATAAGGTAAAGGGGTCTTATGGGAGTACTATGGAAGAGGAACTACCCACCTGTAATGGGCTTCTAAAGTAAGTGTCACCCTATACCCTAAACCCCAAAGCGTGTCCTTGTCCTCCAGGCCGGGTGGCTTGTACCACAACACCTCGGACAACCAGGCGCCAAACTCTTGTTGGCTGTTGCGGCTTAAAGCCCAAACCGTCCCCCATATTCGGAAATACCATTTAGGGCACTATACTAGGGTCCCCTATATTCGGAAACTCCCTAAACCCCGAAAGGGTGCACAGGAGTCGAGGATCCTGCTACTTGGGGTCATTCCCGGTGATTTGTGATTGAGGAGGCTCGAAGCCTAAACCACAAGTTCCATGCCCCTAAACCGTAAACCCTAAACCCTACAACCCTACACCCTAAACCCTAAACCCTAAACCCCAAACCCTACACACCAAACCCTACACCCCAAACCCTAAGCCCTAAACCCTAAACATGCCCTCCAATCCCCAAGCCCGAAACCCTACAATCCTCGAAGCTCGAGGCCCCCCCCACGGAAACCCCAAAGTCCAAAGGCCCGACGAAAGTCCGTAGATCTGGCTAATATACTCTACTATTTGCGTAAGAAACCACCAAAAAAATAAAACAATAATCCCTATATTACCCCCATAAGGAATATATTTTTCATTTTTTGGGGGTTCTTAAGCAAATAGTAGTACTTATTGGCTGCAAACTCAACTTTTCAACTTGTGGGGTTCTTATAAGGTAGTCGCTTCTGAAAGTTTCAACTTTCATTTCCTTGTTTGGGCCAGGGAGTATAGGGCCCTTAATTACTTGCAGTAGAAGCCTATAGCCTCAATCCTTGAAAGTAATGTATAGGGAATCCCAGCTCTATTTGGCCTTAGTCCGGTTTCCAACTGTAAGGGGCTTACTGTATACTATTTAAGGGGTTCCTTATTAATATGATCATAGTAGAATATACCCCATAACCCTATTCTAGTTATTAAGGCCCCTATATTACAGGCTTTAGCGTCATGTCCTGTACTTAGCCTACCGACTGAATGGATGATGAGCTGCCCTTTTCTTGCAGATGCATAGGCCCCAAAAGCACGAAGATCCAGTGCGCTCGTTAAAGTAAAGGCATCTTTCATAAGGGGACGGATCGTCCTGGGACCCTATACCCGGGCTTCTCTTCCCCGGGCATAGCAGTAATAAGCATACTAACGAACGAAAACGTGGTAGTATGTCTAGAAGAGTTTGCAAAAAGGCAAGACAGCATAAGCATCGTCATAGCCATTGGCATAGGAAAATCCCGAACCCTACACCACCCATGTAGATCAGCCTTGATGCTTCCATGCGAGGAATATGCGGATAACCTCTTCCGCTTCGCGCTGTTCTCCCTTGCCGCTCTGGAGGTGCCTCCTTAATCCTAGACTTTAGGGTTTACAAAACGAACCTACGAAAAAGTAGGTTTTGGTGGGTTGACTATAGTATCCTGAGTTTTTTTTTAATTTTTGTTCATTGTCATATAAGCCCAAGAAAAGATTAAACACATTATCTTTCTTATGGTTCTAACCTGGGCATAGTTAAGGCAAACTCTAAGCCCTGAAATTTGCCTTAAACTCTGAAACCCAGAAGCCCTAAGCCATTGTGGATGAATTGAAGATCCCGTCCGAGCCCTTACCTCTTCTGAAGCCCCAACCCCTAAACCCTAAGCCCTAAAAACCCTAAAACCCAAACCCTAACACCCAAAACCCTAAACCCTAAAACCCAAAACCCTAAACCCTAAACCCTAAACCCTACAACCCTACAACCGAAGCCCCAAAGGAACCCTTACAGGAACCGTCAGCCTTCAGAACCCGTACTGCCCGAAAGCTTTCAGGGTACCTTCATCCCATAGGCCCCGTAGGAGTTCCTTTTTGTGGCTCATATAGAAAATCCCACAAGGTAATCCGAAAAAGGGACCTATGGGATTATACGTCCCTCAAGAAAAGCCCTTGAAGGAACCCAAGACCCCATAAATATCATTAAACATTGTAGAACGCTTACAGATCCCCTTGCCCCCCTTAAAGGAAACTTTAAAGGAACCTTTGAAAGAGCCCTGCAAGGCACCCTAAACATTGAGGTTAAACCCTAAACCCCCAAACCCTGAATCAAAACCTAAGTCCTTCGAGCTACCTTAAGATCCCGTGTAGAACCGGAATAGAACTCTATGGATCCCTTAAGAGAGAGTCCCTTAAGAGGGAAGCCTTAGAAGATGCCTTAAAGGATGCCTTAAAGGACTAAACCCTAAACCCGAAGCCCTAAACCCCCTGAACCCTAAGATCCCTATACCCTGAGGCTCTAAGGACTCATAATTTAAGGCTTTTGGGCCCAAAGGCCATACTATATAAGGCTTTTGGGCTATTTTGAGCCTTAGGGATAAATCCCTTAAAGGAGCCCTAAACCCTAAGCCCTACACCCCCTGAACCCTAAGACCCCTAGAGATCCCTTAAAGGAGCCCTTCAAGGAATCCCCTTCAGTGCCCAGGTACCCGTCGGCATCGAACTGGGCGGCGCGCCGCGCTATGGCGGCCGAGTGGTGGGCCCAGAGTCGGGGAGGATCCTTCCTCCCAATATGGGGGCCTTAGGGTTCCTAAGAATATTCGGGGCCTTAGGGTTCCTAAGAATATTGGGGGCCTTAGGGTTCCTAAGAATATTGGGGGCCTTAGGTTCCCAAGAATATTGGGGGCCTTAGGGTTCCCTTTAAAGGGGTCTATAAGGATTACTATAAGGGGGGGTACTTTGAGGGGGTTTAGAGTAGAGGCCTAAAGAAATGCCTATAACGTTTGGGGCGGGGAGCTCCTTTTCAAAATTATAGTATAGCGGGCTCCAAAACCCTATTCTACTTATTAAGGCCTACCTTCACTGAAGGGGCTCGTTCAGGGGTTCTGGATGGGGTTCGGGTTTATTAGGTTTAGGGTTTAGGGTCAATAGTAATAGGGTTTCTGCTAATTCGGCTCCGGGCAAAAGCTTGAGGCTCAACTGGTTCAGAGGTCAGGGTTGAGGGTTGATTGGCTTTAAACCAATCAACCCTCGCCGCCAATCGCATTTCGTATTGTTTAGGACTTAGGGTTATTTGAAGGGTTTACGGTTGGTTCGGTCTGCGCAGTTTGGAGTTGTTTGGGTTTCAGGTTCAACATTAGTTGGGTTAAGGGCTCAGCTTTGGTTAATTATTTCTCTCAGGTCCCTTTATAGGTACCCCAAAGAAGGCAGCATCCTGATCTTCTTCTTCGGAGCGATTGGGTCAGTAACGACGCACGCCTAGCAAAACTGAATTCAAAGGTGAGACGAGCCTGCTCAAGGCGAAGGCGAGCGCAGGCCATCGAGGCAGCGCTCAAAACCTCCTTTAACCAACCAGGTAGTGACTGGCTCAAGACAACTAAGAGCTGCCGAACTTGCCATCAGCCTGACTGGTGTAGTCTTAGCCTGCTGGACCAAAAGCCCAACTGTGTCACAAGCACCTTCGAACCACCTGGCTTGTTTCTCCCACGGCCAAGGGGACGCTACAGTGAAAGGGGTATCGGTACTCAGGCAGAGGAGGCAAATCCAACCTCGCAGAAAACGCTGTGCCCGAAAGGACAAACGGAAAAGCGAGGTCTGAAGGAGTTACAAAGGCAGGCAGAAAATCCAAGCCCCTGGGAATCTTCGGACGTGCACGAAAAGAATCGCAACACAAATCCGGGTCAAGGAGCAGGATAACATTGGATGCCAGGGCAGGGGCGTCCGGGTGGGCAGCTTCATGGCCAGCCCAGGCAGACACAGTAGCTCGAAGGTGGGCCAGGGGGGCGATGAAGTCAGTGACACTCGTGTTTCATCGGGTGACTCAATTCCGAGCAGTGTCGAGAGAAGCCCCGGATGAACCTCAGGTCCCCAAGCACCTGCCTCAGTAGGGACCACGCATCCCTCGAGCTGAAGCGGGGGAGCAGAAGGGTGCGGGACCACAACCGCATCCACATCCGAAACCTGAAAGCTGCCCCAACATTGCTGGCAGGAAGTGGAAAAGGCCACGTGGCGACGTAGACGACCTAGACTGGAGAAGGCTTTACCGCAGGCCCTACACCAGAAACCCTTGACCCCAGCAGTCAGTACCGTAGCAGTGGTCCTATACCCATGGAGTTTGCTGGCGTGGCAAGCCCACGCGGTGCGAGAGCCGAAGGCGATTTTGCATGGGATTCAAGCCTCAGTAAAGGAAGCCTCATTAGCAGCGGCAGGATCACGCGCCGATCCAACCTCCCTAACACACCTGGCCAGAGCAAAGAGGGCCGCGCCGCAGGTTAGGCGCAAGACAGCGAGCCGTTTGGCACGTTTAATCCATCCTCGAAAACGGCCCGGGCGCTCGGTCATAACCCGACACCACGGCTCCCAATCAGACAAGGGATCAGGCAGTGGGACAGTGGCCTTGAGAAGGCCATAGAGCCATCCGAATGCATCGCGATACGCCTCTAAGAGGGCAGCGTCCAGGCGGACCAGCGCCCAGAGTGCGTCCGGGGCAGCAGCGACAAGTTGTCGGACATATCGGAGTCTCTCAACTCGAAGCGCAGTGACAGGGTCAGCGACTCCCAACAGAGCACACGTTTCGGCACGACAAACATGTTGATCGCCTCCGTGTGGGACACATAAAGTCTGTCGCAGGATTCCCATCATAGTACCTATGAGGGTTTGCTCCTCGCCAGGCCGGAGAAAGGGCCAGGCGCCCGCTCCAAAGAAGAGACGAGTCAAAACAGCGGATCCCAAGAGAGTGCCACGGCGAGCCATGGAGAGCTTTTTGTTGCGGTAAACAGCTTTCCGGCCCTGACGAAAAGCCTGCCAAGCGTTTCCGCATCGATACTTGATCTCCGGGAGCAGAGAGTTTCCGGGGGTTTGAATCATGCCCAAATGCTTGTAAGAAGTGACAACCGGCAGGGTTGCCGGAGGCGCATTCTCGAGAAGCACCGGGAGGCAGGCATGGCGGCCAAAGAGCTCAGATCTAGCTCTCCTGGATCCCGGTCCGGTAAGTTTCATCATGGCCGCTGTTTTGGTAGCCCCAAAAGTAAGAGTGTAACCAAAACTGGCAAAGGCCTCAGCAAAGTTAGAGGTGCTGGTAGCCACCCGGACAGAAGCTGATCCTGCATCCTCAAAAACAACACATTCGGCCACATCGTCGGCCCAGACGACGTCCTCCAGGGAGACTGCAGTATTGGCAGCTGAGGGATAGCTGAGGTCCCGTCGCCCGTCCCACGGGATGGAGGGCTTTGCCGCGGCGCCCGGCGTTCCAGCACGAAGCTCATTCTTTAGGTCAAGAATAGCTGTTACACCTGCTCCGAACATCAGATCGGCGAACGTAGATCCCGGCCGTGAGCCTCGCCTGGTCTGGACCGGCTGTCCGTCACCAGTTACAGTGAACCAAGTCCGTCGATGCATTTCAGCAACAATGGCCTCTAACCATGCACTCGCACCGCCCTGTTGCAGCACACTGGGCTTGGCCAGCTGTTGCTGCAACCCATCATGCTCAGGAACAAAATCCAGATTCGGAGGACGTCCATCACCACAGGGGTGCCGCGCTGTGAGCTCTCTAAGTGAGTTGTAATAAGCAGAGGCCACATCCGCGAAGATCACGGCGTAGGAGCTCTTCACCTGCGTTTGCCACCGGCAGAATCCACGAACTAGATGTCCCCCAAAAACGACAGATGCTCCGCGTCTGCCGCCCAAGAGGGTAGGAGGCGCGCAAGAGTCGATGTGCTGGTACAGGCGTGGCCTCAAAGAACGATGCAATGCCTTTGCAATGGTGGGCAAGAGCATGATAGCCCTGTATGAGCTGCACTCGGCCCCTCTGTTTGTAAAGCGTGCAAAGCGTCGAGCTCTGTAAACCAACAGCCTCTGTGCCGCGCACACAGAATTTGAGAAGCAAGGGAAGCAGGTGCAAAGCCAGGGCTGAAGGGATCCCAGACAGGGCTTCCCCCGGTATCATATCCGGTCCGGGAGCTTTCCCGGCTTTGGATGCAGCAAGAGCACGCATCAGTTCCCCTGGGGCCGGAATGTCAAGAATGCACGAAGGTAGAGGCCAGGCCCCTATCGAGGAAGGGCCAGCAAGATCCTCCGGCGCGCACTGACGCCCGGCTTCCATATCCTCAAAGTGTTGCCTCCACCGCGCTGTGATCTCGGACCCGGTTTGGCACATCCTGCCATCAGCCTTACGCAGGCGGGGCAGCACATCAGGCGTGTATGGCTTTTTATGCTTCTGCTTGAGGAGCTGCTGGAGCGCAGCAGCCCCGTCCACTTGGTTGGCCTGCACAGCATCGGCTAATGCTGCAAGATGCGCAGTCCGATCCGCCTTGCAACGCTGCCTAAGCACAGTCGCGGCAGCACGTAGCTGCTCGCTGCATACAGTGCCAACATAATCGGCCTGCCTGGCCCACAGAAAAGCCGATGGGAAGTGGCGGTCAGTGCCGAGCCAGATGGCAAAGAACGCGGCAAGAGTATGCTTGCGAACTGCGGCTTTCAAGCGAGCACAGCGATGGCGGAGGAAAGCAACATGTTGGTGCAACTGCCAGGTTTCAGCAGAAAGGTAGCCGCGCTTAGGACCTGCTTTGGGTAGAGGAAACTCATCGGCAAGAGCATCCTGAAGACTGCGAACCAGCATTGCAGCGTGCGTATCGGCGGAGGTTTGCCAGGGAATCACAGGAAGGCGTTGCAAGACCCCACGAAGGCGCGCCTTATTGGCTGGAGCTCGCAAGGCAACAGTATCAATGCGAGACTTCCGAGGTCTAGGGGGGCCACCAATGTTAGACAGGGTAGCAGCAACGCTGACAACGGTGGCAAGATGGTCAAGGCAGGCCTGGCCAGCGTGAATGTTCGGTTCAACCCAAGCAGCAACGCAGGCATCTCTCCACACCTGAGGAAGAGCAACGAAGTCAGGCCGCGTAGCAGCGGAGTTGCGTTTTTGGAAGAATGTCCATCCAGTGCCACTTTGCACCTCGTCCCAGGTAGCAGGGAACCACAGCTGACCTGAAGCAGCCAATCCGTGCACGAAAGAGCCAGCCAGATCTTGCTGTTCAGCACATGCGTCACTAATGGCATCATCGGTGTGGCTGCCAATACAGGCATTGAGGTCCCCTCCGAGAACTAGGGGAGCGATTTTCGCAAATTTGGAGCACAGACGGATAGTGTCATTCCACCACGCTGTGAGCTCTTCCTCTGAATGCCCCCTATGAGGGGCGTGGAGGCATATGAAGTGCAGACGTAGGCTACCCTGTTGAAAATGCACCACTAACCTCCTAGGGTCACTAAGGAGCACGGAGCAAGCGTCACGACACAAGAGAACCAAGTGCTCCCTACCTCTAGACACAACCGGAAGGTTGCGCCGTAACCATATCTCAACCCCGAGATGTCCCCTCTCCGTACCGGAGCAAAATCGGAGATAATCATCCGTGTTGACAAGGCCTTCTGGCGTACGGGCTTCCTGGACAAAGGCAATCCCAATTTCATGCTCCCGAAGCGTGGAAGCCAAGAGAGCGGGACGGCCAGCAGCAAAAGCGAGCCCCAGATTGGCGCCGTCAGCGTAAGCTGCTCCATTCAGTGAGAGAACGTTGTAGGAGAGCAACCGGAGGGCAAGTTGTGCAGCTGGTGCCCCATCATCTGACACCGGCTGTGGCACACTCACAGGAAGAAATGGAGCAACTTGCTCGGCTGGGGAAAGTTCAGGAGGCGTCGGACAGAACACGGTAATGCGTGGGGAAGGCCCAGGGAGCGATACATTTCCAAGGGCCGCCTGGCACACAACGCCGGCCCACTCAACGTGACGCGTGTCAACTGACCACCAATCGAAAGCGTCCGGCCCACCCGGATGCCATGGGAGAAACCCAACATCAATGCCACGTGCTGCAAGTCGAGCAGCGGCATCAGCGAGCTCATTTCCAAAGTTGCCCGAATGTCCCGCAACATGCTCGAACGCCGGAGGGTGTTGGGCAAGGGCTTCAGTGAAGATCCTGATAGACCTCAGGGCTTGGGCAGCAGCGCGATCGGTGAGGCCATGACCATCCTCAGCGACAAACAAAGCTGCCTTGCAATCAGCCTTATACACAGGGTGATATCCACGAAAAGCAGTGGTGCCCAACCACATAGCAGCAGTCAGAGCGCAACACTCCGCCACAAATGCAGAGGGTACATCGGCGGGCGCAATAAAGAAGGGCGGAACGCTGCCAGCAACAATGCTAAAACAGGGGGGATCTCCAGTAGAGAAAACACACGCCCAGCCAAGCCTGGCGGGATGACCATCCCTTGGTGGGGTGTAAGAACCATCAGTGAAACACCACACCTGATGGGTGGGGATCACATTAGGGTGGGGGTCGAGTGTCGCAAGGAACGTAGTGTCCTGTGTTGGTAGGAGTTGGCAAAGGTCGCTGAGTGTCACGAAGGAAACCCTCGGACACAAGAGGTCCCATAGCTGGGATGCAGTGAAATGGCATGCGACCCCGCCAATGCTCGGGCAGCCATCACCCAGGAGACTGAGAGCATGAAGTGGTGCCTCTGTCCAAGGGAGAGGCAGGACCGGGTCAGGATCCCAACTCGCAAGAGGCAGCAAAATGCTCAAGGACAAACGCGGGCGGATAGCCGGTTCTGTAACTGGGACAGCAGGCAGGGGGAGATCCGCAGACCCGCTCGCAGAAGTGCACGGCTCAACTTCAACACATCTTGAAGGACCCTGAGGCTCAGAGTCAGGAGCGTCCTGCGAAGCCTTTATCCTGGGAGATGGAAGGCGGCGTGGGGAGCGTCCTCGCACAGGTGTGGGCACAGGCCGTCTGTGCGCAAGAAGAGCAAGGCATTGCGGGACACCATGATTGCTGCCAAAGTTAGTGTCCCGATCGGAGCCCAAATGCTGCCCCCCAGGGGGCAGTGGGGGAGGATTGAGTGTGCGATCGACAGGGCTGGCTTCACAGGCGGAGATGCAGCAAACGGCAACAAGCATCACGCGCCAGCACGGCCAAAAACAAGGACCAACCAGACCAGGGCGGCGAGAAGAGCAGTTACAACAGGTAACCGCCGCTGTAGTGGAGCCAAAGCAGACACACCGCAGGGCGGAACGCAGCCTCGTTACCACAAGTAGGCCAAGCCAAAAGAAGCAAAGGCAGGCCAGCACAACTGGGCCCCAAGAAGTAGTTGGTCCATCAGAAGCAGCAACGGAAGAGAGCAAAGCATAGCTGCTGTGCAAGGTCGAGAGTGCAGAGGTGTCCGGCAGTGGCTCGGAAGGACGAGCATCGAGTAGAAAAACCGCAATCCACTTGGTATCTCGATCGACCCGGAGACACGACATGAATGCCGTATGAGTGTCAAAGCCAGGCTGTTCGGCGCCAATGGCTTCGTTCGGAGCAACTGTGATGCTTAGCCATAGGAGAAGAAGCTGCCTGAGGCTAGCTTGTGCAGATAATGGAGAGCGCGCACAAAGATGACGACCTGAGGCTGGAACATGCCGTCCCCTGCCATCACCAGTATAGCCAGACGCTGTTGTGTTGACAGGAGCTGGACTGGTACCAGGTCCGTCGTCAGGGCCCTGTCCAGCAAAGACCTGTGGGGCGGAGGACTGGTCACCGTCGAAAGCCACAGCAACAGAGGCGGAACCGCTACCGCCCCAAGTCCGCAAGGGAGCAGGCTCGAAGGAGAGCGTGAAGACCTCACCAGGACGAAAGTGGACAAAGTGTTGCATCGGTGGTGCTTCTGGCCAGCCGCCAACACAAGAGATCCGCGATCCTGGAGGGCACCGCGATAAGAAACGCTGCTCAATGGTTCTGAGGTTAAGGACGCCCTCGGCATTAGCTGCCCAATCAACACCAAGAAAAACTGGCCTGGCATCTAGAATATAGGGAAAGAGTCCTTGACCATTGGTCTCTATTCGGATGGGCAGGGAAGTGACAACTAGAGCCGCTCGAGCCCAGAAGCCTAAAACATCAAGATCGTGGGTCTTGCCGGTCTAACCCGTAGATCAGCATCAGGAACCCGTAGAGCAGCAGCGAAGTCGCGACGGACGCGGTGTTGCCGAGTCGGGTCGAAATGAAAAAGCCGAGAGGCTCCATCATTCAGCAGCCACAACGCGTTGGCACGCGGAAACCGTAAGGGCACAGGGGGCTGCCAGCAGGCAGCATCACAGAGCATGTCTGTAAGGGTGGTCAAAACAACCACAGCATGTTGCGGCGACTGCAGAGAAATAAGGTCTCCTGGCTCAACATGTACAGTGGCTCCATGGTCAAGGGGCCAAGGCATATCACGAACGTAAACATGCACGTTCTCCGACGGAGAAAGCTGAGCTAAAGCAAGAAGATGCTGTCTTTGCGCCCGCGGCGGGGACATGCAAGCAAAGAACCGACCCTGCGCAAGGCCGTTTTCAATCAAAACAGGCACGCCCGGCACCTCCCAGGGAGGCAAAGCTAGGAGGATTCCTCGTGTGGGGCAAAACTGGTGACTGACGGGGAACAACCGAGGGAACCAAGCCCGCCGTCTAGCGTCCCGTGCTTGAGTCACAAGCTGCAGAGCTTCAGTGAGGCTACAAGGCACCGGCAACTGGACGATGATCTGTTCCGGGGCGTAAGCAGGCACACATATGAGGAAGTGGGCCGGAACAACCCGCCGAACGTCGATCGGCGAATCGACGGACAAAGAAGCATCAGGGACAGAGACATGGCCTTCTGTGGGTGCAGGCGAAGGGTGCGGTCCAGAAGCATCTCCTCCGTGGTCAGCTGGGGTGGCACCAGTATCGGCTTGAACAGAGTCACCGGGAGAAGGACCAGGGGCAGAAGCCTCGCTGGAACCGGCAGAGTAAACCTCACACTCGACAAGGGTGGCGGTGACAATTTGACCCGGAGCTAGCCATCGCACACCCGGCCCTTCGGGGAGGCCGTCAAGCCGCAATGTCCAACCCGTACGTTCATAATCACAAAGGCTGGCAAAGAGTGTGCGCTGCGCAACAAAGCCATTGTAAATGGGCACAGCTTTCCAAGATGCTTCAAGTGGCCGACAGTCTAAGAGAGCACAGTGCCACACGGAGTGGCGCACACCCGGGGGTGGATGACCGACGGCAAGCGTGGCTGTAAAAGGCACTCCTTGTAGCGCAACATCATCAGGTTGAGGCGTCGCGGCAAAAAGCCGCATTCTGGTTGGGTCAGCTCCCGTTGTGGCCGCAATGGCATCTCGATATGCCATTGGATATCTGGTTGCATCGACGCAAAGGCGCGCAGGACCCTTGTGTACCAGACAGCAAGCCTCAATGACGGCCGGAGTAGGAAGTCGAACCTCAGCACCCCATGGATCGGGCGACTGCAAGAGCTCACCCAACGTGAAACGGGTTGGTGGTGGGCAGTCAGCATGGAGAAAAGTGATCAAGGCTCCAGGGAAAAGGTGCACAGGCTGCTCTTCAACAGGTATCTGATCCACACTGAAGAAAACCTCAAAATCAACTCCACGCGGGAGGTGCGCAATCAAAAGCAAGGAATGCTTGTTGGCATAGGGTGGTGCCTGCGCAACAAAGAGGCGCCCATCAATGGCAGTGGTGTCAATACACACAAGATCTGACCCATTCGACCATGCAGGATGTGCGATGAAAAGGGCAACACCGATAGCTGGCTGTGGCAACACCGACAGCAAAGATGGGAAGGTCTCTGCCGAGATGGTGGGACGCTGGGCCTGAACACAAAAGCAAGTTCGTCGGGCGTCACTGGAAGTGGCAAAGAAATCACAGCCTGATCCGAAGAGTACTCAAGGCGAAGCACAGCAACAGAGACAGGTGTCAAGATATCTCCGGACTCTGACTCTGACGAGATGTCGTCCCCAAGCTGAACATGCATCATGCCAGGGATGCGGAACGGCGAATCAGTGATCCACTGGCCACCAAGCCGACGCGTAACACTACGCAGCCGGCGTATATGCCGGCGTTCAGCAGCTGTTCGCCCTTTGGGTTCACATAGAAGCTTGGCCTTCACAATGGCGAGGAATTGCGTCCGTCGTGTGTGCCGCAGCACCAGAAAAAAGACGCAGGCACATACAATACTCAAGCAAACCAAGAGCCAAGTCACAGGCGGTGCGCAGGCCCGTGGCGCAACCGAATCACAGATGATGGGTGCTGCTGTGGTACGTCCCGGCTGCGTGATGCCAAGAAAGGCCCCTAAAGCAGTGCCTGCAAGGGCTCGGCCGGATCCTGCAGACGGGGCACCATTAGACGTAGTGCGGGGAGATCTTGAACGCGATCTCGGGGTATACCTTGCAGGTGTCGGCGAGTACCTCACCGGCACGGGAGGAGGAGGGCCTGCAGGTGGCTGTGTGGGGTCAACAATGGCGTCCGGAAGCGTGTCATCCAAACTGGGGTTGGATTCCTCAAGGTCTTCATCATCATCTGAGGAACTTTCATCGGTACTCCAAGGATGGTCTGGCTTGTACCCAAAGACAACTACATCGCCTTCAGATAAGTGCAAAATCCCCAGGCGCCCAGGTCGGGGGCTCATTGCAATGCGGTAGCAGGGTGGAGCCAGGGCAAGAATATGTGCATGACATCCCGGCCAGCCTGTCTGGGATCAAGGAAGACCACAATGCCTTCACGATCCTCACGTGGAGCAAGTGGGAATATAGAAAGGGCATCCCGGCAAGCCACCCCTCTACATGAGATGTCCGTGAGTCCGTTGCCAATCGGCGCAACGAAGAGAACCCGCTCAGGAGGCCGATCAACCAAATCCGCTAGGAACCGAAGCGTTGGAACCCCAGGATGTCGAGAGGCACTGTGAAGTAGGTGTCGATCATGGAACGACACATAAACCGGTTTGTCATCACCCTCTGGGGGAAGGTTGGGGTCCTCAACCCACCACTGCGGTCTATCGAACCGAGCAGAGAGGGTAGAACACCACTGAGCAGGCATGCCAACAGGTTGGAACTGCACCACCCCACCTAAAACCGAAAGGAAGGTATCCCCAGGCTCAAGTGCCCTAGAATTTCCCTGCATGTTCTAGGAAACCCCAGATGTCCATGATGCTTTTATATGCTCACTGATGCCTTGGCTAGGCTGTTGAGCTACGTGTTTGAAGTATCTAATTAATATCTCTTGCGAACCAATTCTTTTATCTACTCTTTGAACACCGCACATGCATACATGACACACGTACGTGTTCGAGTGCTGTGCGGTAGGAGTAGGAAGATGGGCACTGGCCCGAAACAAGAACAGAAAGAAGACCTCGAAAAAAGAAAGCGGAAAGGCTACGGGGCAGCCATGTAAAGGTCTAGTGCAAGGGATTCTCACTTCTGTTCGCGTGCATGTTTTTGCAAACGACATATGCTTGTCTCGAAGGCGCCAAGCATGTCTCAAAGCCATTACACGACGAAACTGCGATGGCTCAAGAACGACAAAAGGCCACTGACTGTGAGAGGGGTTTTTGGAAGTTCGGGGTTTTTCAGAGCGTCCCTTCGGTGAACACCTTTCGTGAAGCTCTAATTCCCTTGGAAGCCAGAAGCACTGAAAGCCCGTCTGCATTAGATCACGACATTGCAGAGTTCCTTCAGTGCATCCGACAGAGAAGCACGACATTGCAGAGTTCCTTCAGTGCGCGGGCGCACTGACTGGCATTCAGGTTGTAGTGATTCTTTAGGTCGTTTGGTTTCCCTAGCGTTTTCCCGATCCCGGTTTAGGCGGTCCTTATCGTACCCTAAAAGGCTCGAACGTTCAAGCTGTGAAAGCTGGTCGGCGACAACGGTCGCGATCAAAGAACTGAACTACTTAGTATTGCTATGGAGCTATCGCCTGTTCCTACGCACTATTCTGTAGTCACCGATGGAAGCCCATATCAACAACAGGTTATGACTGCCCAAGCTACCCAAGAGAACAGCAGTTCACCAGGGACTTATCATGCCACCATGAATGTGCAAACTCTTCAGAGAATGCAGGTCGAGATTCCAGTAGAGGTTTTGCGGAGTTTCCAGCAAGCAACTGCTTTTGATCAGGCAGCGTTGTCTGACTTGAGTGCCGCTGTGCAGGAGCTGCATGATCGACTCCAGTATCGCACTGGGCTTCTGGGGTCCGCCGTAGAAAATGTTCATGGTGGGTATCAGAGGGTTCTTGATGAATTGCAAGCCGTAAGCGTTGCCGTGGACGCACAGCATCGCGTGATCCAGACATTGATTCGGAGCCGTGATGAAATGCATGAGCAGATAGAATCAGTGAAACATGATCTTCAGACTAGGGTGGATCTTCTTGAAGGTGCGCAGATGGGTACTAAGCAATGGCAGGCCCAGGTCGAGGCACACATCCAGAAGATTGACAACACCTTGTATGTCATGAATGAACGCCAGCAAAGATTGGATGCAAAGTCCGACGCAGTGCTTCAGGCGTGCAGTGATCAGCAGACTGATGCAGCATCTTCCAGTGCAAATGCTCGTATTGCAATGCTTGAGAAGGATCTGTCAGAGCTGCAGAACAAACACGAACAGTTGCTTAATCTTGTAGGTGATCTGTATGCAGAGGACACCACAGGTCCTGCAACCGCACCGTGGCCAGATTGGAGCTGGCCGGAACAGCATGGAGCGGCGTGGCCCACTTTTGAGGCTCCCCAGTTTGCAGTTCCTCCAGGTTTGAGTGGAAATGCTCAAGGCGTTGGCGGCCTAGGTCAAGCGCAGTACTTCAACATAGGTTCACCAGGCCCTGGAGGGAATAATCAGCAAACATATGCAGCAGAGTTTGATTTGTGGGGTGACGCTCAATATGATGCAACGGCAGCTGGAATGGCTGCTGATCCCGGCGGGGAAATTCCGTCTGCAACTGCAGCTGCAACGGCTGCCAGTCAGGGTGGAGGTCAACAGGCGAGTGCCACTACCCAGAATGCAAATGCAACGCAGGATGCAGGTACCAAGCAAGATGCTGATGATCTTGATCTTATCCCCAATGAGAGATGGAAGTGCTTGTTGGAGGTGCCGACTTTTGATCCTAAGGATGGTGTAGGGTTGCCTTGGGAACTAGGACTTCGGTTTGATGTGTGGAAGAAACAATTCCTTACACTAGCCTCCAATGTACATCCCCGGTTTGCTGATTACGTCTCTGTGTGCTTCAAGACAGCGCAAGAACGGCATGACATCCAGGCCGAGGGAAGACAGGCGCCTCCGTTTCAGCCAGTTGCGGGGTATCCGGCGATGTTTGAGTCTAGACTTGTGATGGTGTTACTTCGAGTGCTCCCTGATGGAGTTAAGACGCCTGCACTTGAATCAGACGAAGGCGGCCAGAAGATCACATCTCAGCGCCTGCTTGAAGAATTGTACCTGTGTGTCAGGCCAGGTGGTTTGGAGGAGCAACAAACCCTGGTTAGATTCTTGAGGCAAGTGAATCCCGTTGCAACAGCTCGCGAAGCCATAGAATTGTTGCGTCGGTGGAGGCTCGCCAAGAATAGGATTGCTTCACTGTCCTTGCCAGAGGTGCCGGCGTATGAGCAAATTAGCGGCATTCAGAAGATGCTTAAGAACCTGGAGCGGAAACATGACAGCCTTAGGACCCGTCTTTCCTTGATTCGCATACACCCTGACGTGCAGTTGGCTCGCCCGCAAGGGGTGATGATGGTTCTGGAGACCGTGGAACAGGAGCTTCGGCAAATTGCTGCCGACGAAATGGCCAGGGATAATGCGGGGGATGGTTCAGGGCAACCTAGTGGAAATCAGGCAAAGGGTTCAGAGCAGAAGGGTAAGGATAAAGGGAAAAGTGAGGGGAAAGGGAAGCAGGCTGATCAAAAAACCAACCCTAACCCTAAAGAACATCCCAAAGGCAAGGGCAAAGGCGACAAAGGTGCAAAGCCTGAGGCACAGCCTAAGAGGAAGTGCATTTTTCACGGCCGCAAATCTGGGTGCCGGCTCGGTGATGCTTGTAAGTTCTTGCACGAGGGGCCATCAGGTGCTGCTCAGAGCGATCCGCAAGGGAACAATGCACAGGCACTTCTTGGTGCTGAGGCGCAGAAGGCGAATGCAAAGGCCAAACCCAAGCCGAAACCGGCAGCTAAGGCAGCTGCTACATCCGTCGTCAGCTCATCCTTCGCAGGCATGATTATGTCTGCACCGCGTGAGGAGAATCCTTTCCCGCATCGTCAGATTCCTGAGTGGCCGTTGTGGATGTGTGAACTGACCCTTGAGCAATACCTTGAGTGGCAGAGGAATCCTTTTGGTATGACAGGATACTTCAATCAGGTAGACCATCCTCGAATCAGTCCCAAGCGTAAGGACCTTGAGGCCAATTTGTGGATTCACTTGAGCGAGTGCGAGATCGAGAAATGGATTGAAGGATGGAGGGATGGAATGGTGATGAAGATGTACACTGATGCTGGGTTAATTGAAGCTCAAGTGGTATCGGCATGGCAACATGAGACATGTGTTCATGAACCCGGATTCTTGGTAGCGACAGGCTTGGAATCAGATGAAACATGTTACAGGGTTCTGGTGCTTGCGGCCAACCGGCCTGGGTCACCATTGCCTTTCAATGCTATGCAGCAGGCTCGGTTGGATGATGATCGGAGGATTGAAGATCCGAGAGCATCGAGCATTGCGGACAGTGTCACAGGAGCTGCTGATCTTGAATTGGACTTCCAAGAGTCTGAGGAGGAGTCGATGTCCGACTCCGAAGTGCGCACACTTTCATCCTTTGAGACCCTGTCCAGCGAGTCTTCTGATTATGAGATGCCCAGAAGGGGAATGATTTGGGGGATCCACTTAGCCGAGGAGGATTTTCGTGCGTGGATTAGGCCCGGAGTCCTTGGGGTAAATCATGATGAAGCTATCATTCCTGTGATAGGCGATGAAGGGTTGGAGATGCGTGCATGGAGGACCTTGATGATGT